GCCCAATTTTTCTGGATGTAGATTTTTGATCTTTTTTATTTTTCCGTTTTTCGATTATTTTAATTTTTATAATTTCCTATTTCCCAATTTTACAAAATTTCGAGAATTTCCAAAACCGTTCAATTTCTGATTTTTCGATTAATTGGTTTTTCAATTTACACTTCTCAGTTTTTCGATTCTTCCATTTTTAATTTTTTCTATTTTTCGATTTCCAAGTCCTCAATTTTGCAGTTTCTTCATCTCTCAAAGTTTCGATCAAATTTTTCGATTATTCGAATTTCAATTTGTCCATGAGTCAGTTTTCCGATTTTTCGATTTTTGATTTTTGATTTCATTTTTTCAGTTTTACAATTGTACAATTGTGGAAAATTTTGAAATATTTAGAAAACCGTTTAATTTCTGATTGTTCTCAATTTAGATTTTTCACTTTTTCGATTGTTCGACTTTTTGATTTTTTGAATTTTCCATATTTTAATTTTTCGATTTCCTATTTTTCAATTTTTTATTTTTCCCATGCAAGAATTTTCCGATTCTTCAAGTTCTGATTTTTTGGTTTTATTAATTTTCGATTTCATTTTTCCAATTTTATAATGTTCCGACAAATTAAATTTTACAATTTTACAATTTTGCAAAATTTCGAAGTATTTCGAAAACTTGATCTTTCGATTAACCCAATTTTTCTTAATTTAGATATTTGATTTTTTTTTTTGTTTTCCGTATTTCGTTTTTCTGATTTTTCAGTTTTTGAATTTTTTTATTTTAATTTTTCCGGTTTTTTTGGTTTCCAGGCTCTCGATTTCAGTTTCTCAATTTTTGATTTTTATAATTTTCGATTTCTTTTTTCCAATTTCAGTTTCTTAATGTCTCAATGTTTCGATCAAAATTTTAAATATTTCGAAACACATTCAATTTCTGATTTTTCGAGTTTTCATTTTTTCCGTGAGTCAGTTTTTTGATTTTTCAGTTTTTGATTTCTGGTTTTTTATAAATTTCGATTTCATTTTTCCAGTTTTTCGATTTCTCGAATTTCCAGTTTTACAAAATTTTCTTAATTTAGATTTTTCACTTTTCCGATTGTTCAACTTTTTGATTTTTGATTTTTTTTAATTTTCCGTATTTCAATTTTTCGATTTTTCATTTTTTTTTTTTTTTGAACAATTTTCGGATTCTTCAGTTTCTGATTTCTTGGTTTTATTAATTTTCGATTTCATTTCTCCAATTTTTTAATTTTCCGACAAATTAAATTTCACATTTTTGCAAAATTTCGAAGTTCTGATCTTTCGATTGGCCTAATTATTTCGATTTTTTTTTTGTTGTTTTTTCGTATATCGGTTATTCCCAAGTTTTCATTTTCGAACTTTTCGATTTTCAACTTTCCAATTTTACAAAATTTCGGGAATTTCGAAAACCGTTCAATTTCTGATTTTTCGATTAATGGATTTTTCATAATTGCTAGAATTTTCCCAATTTCAGTTTTTGAATTTTTTATTTTAATTTTTCGGTTTCCAAGTTCTCAATTGCGCAGTACTTGATCTCTCAAAATTTTAAACATTTCGAAGAAGAAACAAATTCTGATTTTCCAATTTTTGGTTTCTTGTTTTTATAATTTGCGATTTGATTTTTACAATTATACAATTGTATTCAACTTTTTTATTTTATTTTTTTTTAATTATCCGTTTTTCAATTTTTCGATTTCCTAATTTTTTGATTCTATTAAATTTTACAATTTTGCAAAATTTCGAAATACATATTTCGAAAACCCGCTCTTTCGATTATCTCAATTTAGATTTTTGATATTTTGGTTTTTCCGATTTTCAGTTTTTCGATTTTTATTTTTATAATTTTCGATTTCATTCTCGATATGTCGATTTTTCATTTTTCCAAGTTTTCTCAATTTCACACTTTTGCATAATTTCTCGAATACATATTTCTAAAACCGTTCAGTTTCCGATTTTTCAGTTTTTCGGTTTTTCAATTTCCCATTTAATTCTGCTTTAATTTTTTCCATTTTCTAATTTGTCGGTTTTTCAATTTTTTAATTTCTCAACCTCACAATTTTTCAGTTTTGCAATTTCTTAATGTCAGAATGTTCCCATTGAAATTTCGAATATTTCGGAAACCATTCAGTTTCTGATTTTTCGGTTTTTGCAGTTTTCTATTCTTTCTTTTTTTTCGGTTCTTCAACATCTCTAGTTTTAATTTTTTGTTATTTCCTTGTTTTCAATTTTTCGATTATTTTTAATTTTTTTAATTTTCGATTTACCGATTTTTCGATTACTCATTTTATAATGATTAAAAATTTCGAATGATTGGAAAACCATTTAATTTCTTTTTTTTAATTTCTCAGTTTGTATTTTTCAGCATATCAATTTTCCGATTTTTCATTTTTTCAAGTTTTCTGATTTTGCAATTTCACAATTTTGCATAAATTCGAATCCATATTTCTTAAATCGTTCAGTTTTCGATTTTTCAATTTAGATTTTTCGATTTTTATTTTTTCACTTTTCATTTTTACAATTTTTCGATTTTCATTTTTGTAATTTCTTAATGTCACAATTTTCCCATAAAAATTTCGAATATTTCAAAAACCATTCAATTTCTGATTTTTCTGTTTTTCCGATTTTCTATTCTTTCTTTTTTTGGTTCTTTAACATCTCTAGTTTTAATTTTTTTTGTTATTTCCTTGTTCAATTTTTCGATTATTTTAATTTTTTTTAATTTTCGATTTTTCGATTACTCATTTTATAATGATTCAAAATTTCGAATGATTGGAAAACCATTTATTTATTTTTTTTTTAATTTCTCGGGTTGGATTTTTCAGCATATCAATTTTCCGATTTTTCGTTTTTTCAAGTTTTCTGATTTTGCAATTTCACAATTTTGCATAAATTCGAATCCATATTTCTTAAATCGTTCAGTTTTCGATTTTTCAATTTAGATTTTTCGATTTTCATTTTTGTAATTTCTTAATGTCACAATTTTCCCATAAAAATTTTGAATATTTCAAAAACCATTCAATTTCTGATTTTTCTGTTTTTCCGATTTTCTATTCTTTCTTTTTTTTTGGTTCTTTAACATCTCTAGTTTTAATTTTTTTGTTATTTCCTTGTTCAATTTTTCGATTATTTTTAATTTTTTTAATTTTCGATTTATCGATTTTTCATTTTTCCAACTTTTCAATTTACCGATTTTTCGATTACTCATTTTATAATGATTCAAAATTTCGAATGATTGGAAAACCATTTATTTTTTTTTTTTTAATTTCTCGGGTTGGATTTTTCAGCATATCAATTTTCCGATTTTTCGTTTTTTCAAGTTTTCTGATTTTACAATTTCACAATTTTGCATAAATTCGGATCCATATTTCTTAAATCGTTCAGTTTTCGATTTTTCAATTTAGATTTTTCGATTTTTATTTTTTCACTTTTCATTTTTACAATTTTTCGATTTTCATTTTTGTAATTTCTAAATGTCACAATTTTCCCATAAAAATTTCGAATATTTCAAAAACCATTCAATTTCTGATTTTTCTGTTTTTCGGATTTTCTATTCTTTCTTTTTTTCGTTCTTTAACATCTCTAGTTTTAATTTTCGATTTATCGATTTTTCATTTTTCCAACTTTTCAATTTACCGATTTTTCGATTACTCATTTTATAATGATTCAAAATTTCGAATGATTGGAAAACCATTTATTTATTTTTTTTTAATTTCTCGGGTTGGATTTTTCAGCATATCAATTTTCCGATTTTTCATTTTTTCAAGTTTTCTGATTTTGCAATTTCACAATTTTGCATAAATTCGAATCCATATTTCTTAAATCGTTCAGTTTTCGATTTTTCAATTTAGATTTTTCGATTTTTATTTTTTCACTTTTCATTTTTACAATTTTTCGATTTTCATTTTTGTAATTTCTTAATGTCACAATTTTCCCATAAAAATTTTGAATATTTCAAAAACCATTCAATTTCTGATTTTTCTGTTTTTCCGATTTTCTATTCTTTCTTTTTTTGGTTCTTTAACATCTGTAGTTTTAATTTTTTTGTTATTTCCTTGTTTCAATTTTTCGATTACTTCTTATTTTTATAATTTTCGATTACTCAGTTTTATAATGATTCAAAATTTCGAATGATTCGAAAACCATTTAATTTCTTATTTTTTAATTTCTCAGTTTGGATTTTTCAGCATATCAATTTTGCATAAATTCGAATCCATACTTCTAAAAGCGTTCAGTTTTCGATTTTTCAGTTTGTTGATTTTTCAAATTAGATTTTTCGTTTATTCAATTTTTATTTATTTTTTTAATTTTTTCCATTTTTCAATTTTCTGATTTTTCGATTAGTTAGTTTTACAATTTCTTAATGTCACAATTTTTCCATCAAAATTTCGAATATGTCAAAAACCATTCAATTTCTGATTTTTCGGTTTTTCCAGTTTTCAATTCTTTCTTTTTTCGATTCTTCAATACCGCTAATTTAAATTTTTTTGTTGTTTCCGTGTTTCAATTTTTCGATTCTTTATTTTTTTTTCGATTTCTCAATTTTTGATTTTTTGGGTTTTCCGTATTTCATTCCTCGATTTTTTAGTTTTCATAATTTTCAATTTGATTTTCGATTTCTGGATTTTTTGTTTTTCCAATTTTTCAGTTTTACAATTTTTCAAAATTTCGAATATTTTGAGAACCCCCGAGTTTACAAGTAAAAAAAAAATGTTAAAGAAATAAATATTTGTCTGTTGAAGTTCTGTTTAAATAACTTTGGACTAATTTTTGTTATATATTTTCAATTATAGTTATAATTTCACCAATTTTTTTTTGTATTCGGTCATTTATATAAAGGTAAAAAAGAACTGATCCGTGTTAAAATCCTTGCGACACTCCTGAAATAACAACATTGAATTTCAAGCGAAAATCGAGAATATTATCTTATAGTAGTTGTTTAAAGAATTTTAAGAAGAAACTTAATGAAGTATGATTGATTGATTGTCGTTTTTTCTGTTTCAGGACCGCGGAGACAGCAATCGGGGTCGCGGCGGCCGAGGCGGCCGCAACTAAAGTATAACTAAAAAAAAAAAGAAGAAGAAGAGAGTAAAAGAGTAAAATATTACATCATAATAAAAGTATAAAAGAATAAAGAAAAAAATAACACATTGTTATGGCTGCTCTTTACTGTAGTGTTATAATCTATTACTAGCTTGTTATTTCATATACTTCACATAGACGGTATCAGATTAGTTGTCCGTACTCTGATGGTTTTCGCATCGCTCTAGTTTAGACGCCCCCCTCCCTCCCCCCGTTTATTTCTTCTAAACTCATTATGATAATAATTTGCTTATAACATGTTGCTTTGAATGAGATAATGACCGATTAAGTTAATTGATGTGTATTCGCCTAAGAAAAAAGTTTCAGTGCATCCTCTGGGTCTATGTGGTGTTGCTATTTTAAATAAAAAGCAAAAAAGCTCGAAAAAAATTCCAATTAATTTGTACATGTGGGTTTTCAATTGAATTTTTAAATATCGACTCTAACTGAAAGGTATATGGATTCTAGTAATATAGTTGTATAAATAAAGAAAATAACAAAGTTAGTGGCCCCCCACTCTTCGGATCGGGCTGATATGCAATCAAAAATATATATAGTAGTGCAGTGCTCATTTGATTTTACTGTCGAGTGGACTCTTTAATAAATTAAATTGTAATATATAACTAGAAGAACGTTGCGAGGTAGTTGAATTAATTAAAAGTGTTGATTTATCCGGACTAATTTCTGAATCAGCAGCGGGACGTCGAAGAGTCGAAGATCCACGAAGAAATTCAACACTACTTTCCGAACACTCTGAAGCTGTGAAAGTGATAATCGAGCGCTACAGGACAAATAAACAAATTGGCTAAAAGTTTCGTTTCTTGACGGACAGTGACGCGTTTGTTTGTATATGTTACAGTTTTATGATGTTTTTCAATTTTGTAATCGTAATTATTAATCTTGTAGGAAATGAACTATGTGCAGTTTTTATTAAGATATTTGTTAAAAGATGAATAGTTTAAAGCGAGGCTAGAAAACCCGCGAATGCTATGTTTAGACTTTTCACTCGAATTCATTTCGCCCCACCAAATTTGTGTAAATAATTATTGCGAGCGAGCGAGAGAGAGATAGATGTCGCGGAGGAGTAATTTAATAAATGTGTACATTAGAGACAATATTGCGTTTTATAGGTGCTACTTTTATAAGGAACTTTTATTCGTTGTCGATTTCTGACGTTCAGTACGAAGATGAACATAGCATTTGGTTTTCGTCGTCTATTTGTACACTGTGCCTAATATATTAGACTGATGCACCGAGTGCATTGTGATTGTATAAAATATATTGATTGATTGATTGATTGTGTGATCCGAACAGTGGGCATCCTCTGTTGATAGCTACATCATCAATAAAAGAAACATCAATTATGACATTGGAGGTTTCTTTCTTTGTTCGTTCGTTCGTTCGGCCCATCCTCGATACGTGCATATCGACGACAGGTTTTCCTATATACCTACATTTATATTCATTATATATATATTTTTCTCATCATTATTGTTAACACTTTTTATTTTTTCTTGCGAGTCTTGTTGGAAGACTTTTGAACTTGTTTATTTTCTCATTAAGTTGTGTAGCAATATTACATATACATAATTATTTCTCCTATAACTATATTTATGATAATTTGTTATAAATACAGTCTATGAAGGTAACAGTTGGAGCATGGTTTATTTTTTTATTTGCTTCTTTCATCAAAACTCATTTTCCTCTTATCCACAACCGGTGAACGACCTACAGCGAAAAAACGCCGATTTTCAACCACGCCTGATATCTAGGCAACACTTTAAACACCACAGTATTCGGGAGTGCATCCTACATTTATGATTCGTTCAACTTTTTCAATTAAATACCGAGCATTACGGTGTTTTCTAAGTGTTAATAAGTACCAAGTGGTTCTCGGTTATTTTTTAATATGAAAACACGTGCCGGAATTTATTTTGCAGTTAAATATAAATATTATGAGATGATCAACTAATAAAACGAATTATGCAACCCAAAATACTCCAAAAAAGAAATTTTACACGAGTTTCGAGAATAGGTCGAAATTTGAAAAAGGTAAGTATTGGAAATTTTCTATTTATGGTCACGAAGCATTAAATTCGAAATGTTTGGTGTGAAATTCTAATTTTTGAAAATTTCTGCCATTTTTCAACCACTTTCGAAAATAGAGTAGACATTTTCTTGTAGATTTCGACATCCAGGTATCATTTTCAGTTTCATTTCTTACTTCTTACTTTTTTCACTTCCTAGATTCTATTAGTTTCCACTCCATCGGAGAACGTAAGTAGTCCCGCCCACCCACCCTGTCTTGTTTTTTGTTTTTTTTTTTTTTTAATGTTTAGAATCATTGAATTTCTTATTTTTTTTTGTTTCTTGGATTTCTTGGATTTTTAAATTCATTTCGAATTTTGTGAGTTACCGGATTTTTTGAGGTTTTTTTTATTTCTTGGATTTCATGGATTTTTTAAGTTTATTAAGTTTTTGGATTTTTTCGAATTTTATGGACAATTTCGATTTTTTGATATATGTAATTGGATTTCTTGAGTTTCTTGAATTTCGCGGACTTTTGAATATTTTAGATTTTTGGAATTATTGGAGTTCTTACGTTTTTAGAAGTTTCTTGAATTTCTTGGTTTTGTTAAATTCTTTGATTTTTTTGTATTGTCGATTTTTGGATGATTGAAATTCTTGTATTTTTTTTTCGGGTTCTTTTGGATTTTTTATTTCTTGGGTTTTTAAATTTTTTTTGGATTTTTCATTTTTTGAATATTTTATTTTTTGGAATTACTGGATTTCTTGAGTTTTTTTTTGCTTCTTGGGTTACTTGGATTTTTTAATTCATTAATTTTTTGGTTTTTGCGAATTTTACAGATAATTACGATTTTTTTGGATAATTGAATTTCTTTTATTTTGTTTTGTTTTGTTTTTTTTTTCATTTTTTTTTTTTAGATTTTTTGAATTCTTTATATTTTTGGAATTATGTATTGGATTTCTCGAGCTTTTTTTTGTTTCTTTGATTTCTTGAATTTTTAAGTTCATTAATTGTTTGGATTTTTTCGAATTTTATGGATATTTTCGATTTTTTTGGATAATTGGATTTCTTGAATTTCTTGGACTTTTTGAATATTTTAGATTTTTGGAATTATTGGATTACTTGATTATTTTAAGTTTCTCGGATTTTTTTGAATGCTTTGAATCTTTTCGATTTTTTGGATTTTTGAATACAAATTTTGAATATTTTCTATTTTTTGGTTAATTGAATTTCTTATATATTTTTTTCGGATTCTTTTGGATTTTTTATTTCTTGGGTTTTTAAATTTCTTTTGGATTTTCATTTTTTGAATATTTAATATTTTGGAATTACTGGATTTCTTGAGTTTTTTTGTTTCTTGGATTTCTTGGATTTTTAAATTCATTTCGAATTCTATGGATATTTTCGAATTTTTGGAAAATTGGATTTCTTCCATTTCTTGGATTTTTTTGGATTTTCCGTTTTTTTTTATTTTTCAACTTGGGTTTTTCAATTTTTTGAATTATCGGATTTGTTGAGGTTTTTTTGTTTCTTGGATTTTATGGATTTTTTAAGTTTATTAATTTTTTGGATTTTCTCGAATTTTACGGACATTTTCGATTTTTTTGGATAATTGGATTTCTTGAATTTCTTGGACTTTTTGAATATTTTAGATTTTTGGAGTTATTGGATTACTTGGGTATTTTAAGTTTCTAGGATTTTTTTTGAATATTTTGAATATTTTCGATTTTTTGCATTTCTGAATACATATTTTGAACATTTTCTGTTTTTTGGATAATTGATTTTCTTGTTTTTTTTTTCGGATTCTTTTGGATTTTTTATTTCTTGGGTTTTCAAAATTTTTTTGGATTTTTTATTTTTTGAATATCTTATTTATTGGAATTACTGGATTTCTTGAGTTTTTTTTTTGGTTCTTGGGTTTCTTGGATTTTTTAATTCATTGAATTTTTGGATTTTTGCGAATTTTACGAATAATTTCGATTTTTTTGGATAATTGTATTTCTTGAGTTTCTTAAACTTCTTGAATTTTTTGAATATTTTAGATTTTTCGAATTATTAGATTTCTTGAGTTTTTTAAGTTTCTTGAATTTTTTGGATTTTTAAATTCCTTGATTTTTTGTATTTTCGATTTTTGGATAATTGAATTTCTTTTATTTTGTTTTGTTTTTTTTTCAATTTTTTTTTTAGATTTTTTGAATTCTTTATATTTTTGGAATTATGTATTGGATTTCTCGAGCTTTTTTTTGTTTCTTTGATTTCTTGAATTTTTAAGTTCATTAATTGTTTGGATTTTTTCGAATTTTATATATTTTGAACATTTTCTGTTTTTTGGATAATTGATTTTCTTGTTTTTTTTTTTTCGGATTCTTTTGGATTTTTTATTTCTTGGGTTTTCAAAATTTTTTTGGATTTTTTATTTTTTGAATATCTTATTTTTTGGAATTACTGGATTTCTTGAGTTTTTTTTTTGGTTCTTGGGTTTCTTGGATTTTTTAATTCATTGAATTTTTGGATTTTTGCGAATTTTACGGATAATTTCGATTTTTTTGGATAATTGTATCTCTTGAGTTTCTTGAACTTCTTGGATTTTTTGAATATTTTAGATTTTTCGAATTATTGGATTTCTTTAGTTTTTTAAAAGTTTCTTGAATTTTTTGGATTTTTCAAATTCTTTGATTTTTTGTATTTTCGATTTTTGGATAATTGAATTTCTTTTATTTTGTTTTGTTTTTTTTTCATTTTTTTTTTTTTTTATATTTTTTGAATTTATATTTTTGGAATTATGTATTGGATCTCTCGAGTTTTTTTTTGTTTCTCTGGGGGTCTTGAATTTTTAAGTCCATTAATTTTTTGGATTTTTCCGAATTTTACGGATATTTTCGATTTTTTTGGATAATTGGATTTCTTGAATTTCTTGGACTTTTTGAATATTTTAGATTTTTGGAATTATTAGACGTCTTGAGTTTTTTAAGTTTCTTGGATTTTTTAGATTCTTTGATTTTTTGGAATTTTTTCTAATATTTTGAAAATTTTCGATTTTTTGGATTTCTTCAACGTTTTTAATATTTTCAATTTTTTTGATAATTGAATTTCTTGCATTTTTTTTTATTTCTTGGGTTTATTAAATTTCTTGAATTTTTTAGGTTCTTGGGTTTCTTGGATTTTTTAAATTCTTTGATATTTTTGGATTTTTTTAATTTTATGGATATTTTCATTTTTTTAGATAATTGGATTTCTTGTAGTTCTTGGATTTTTTAAATTCTGAGTTTTTGTATTTGTTTTGAATATTTTGAATATTTTTGATGTTTTGCTTAACTGAATTTCTGACATTTCCTGTATTTTTTCGTGTTTTTTTGGATTTTTTTTTTAATTTTTTGAATTTGTTTAAATTTTTTTATTCTTTTATATTTATGTAATTATTGGATTCCTTTATTTTTATGAGTTGCTTGGGTTTCTAGGATTTTTAAATTCTTTGAGTTTTTGGATCTTTTTAATATTTTGGGCAATTTCGATTTTTTGCATAATCGGACTTCTTACATTTGTTCGATTTTTTTTTGGATTTCCCAGATTTATTTGGATTTTTTGAATTTAGATATTTGGAATTATTGGATTTCTTGGATTTTTAAATTTATTAATTTTTTGAGTAATTGTAATTCTTGACTTTCTTGGATTTTTAAAATTTTCCTTTTTTTGTTTTTTTTTTTGAATACTTTAAATATTTTCGAATTTTTGGATAATTGCATTTCTTCTATTTTTTTGATTGCTTGGATTTTTTCGGATTGTTTTGGATTTTTTTTATTGTTTTTTATTTATTTTTTTATTTCTTGGATGTTTTGAATTTTTTGATTTTATGGATATTTTCAATTTTTTGAATAATTGGAGTTCTTGAGTTTCTTGAATTTCTTGGGCTTTTTGAATATTTTAGATTTTTGGAATTATTAGATTTGTTGAGTTTTTTAAGTTTCTTGGATTTTTCGGATTTCTTGAGTTTTTTAAGATTCTTGGATTTTTTAGATTGTTTGATTTTTTGGGCATCCTCTGTTGATAGCTACATCATTAATAAAAGAAACATCAATTATGACATTGGAGGTTTCTTTCTTTGTTCGTTCGTTCGGCCCATCCTCGATACGTGCATATCGACGACAGGTTTTCCTATATACCTACATTTATATTCATTATATATATATTTTTCTCATCATTATTGTTAACACTTTTTATTTTTTCTTGCGAGTCTTGTTGGAAGACTTTTGAACTTGTTTATTTTCTCATTAAGTTGTGTAGCAATATTACATATACATAATTATTTCTCCTATAACTATATTTATGATAATTTGTTATAAATACAGTCTATGAAGGTAACAGTTGGAGCATGGTTTATTTTTTTTATTTGCTTTCATCAAAACTCATTTTCCTCCTATCCACAACCGGTGAACGACCTATAGTGAAAAAACACCGATTTTTGTCATGTTAGATAGGCAACACTTTAAACACCACAGTATTCGGGAGTGCATCCTACATTTATAATTCGTTCAAATTTATCAATACAATACTGAGCATTTCGGTGTTTTCTAAGTGTTAATAAGTACCAAGTGGTTCTCGGTTATTTTTTAATATTAAAAGACGTGCCG